GGGGAGGTGAGCTCACTTCCGGACCTTCGGGCTAACGGACCCTAGCCTCTAGCTGTCCAGTCAGCCTGGCCTCTCTTAGGATCTGGGGTGCTGTGGGAGGCCGAAGTTTTAAGCAGCACCCACTCCCCTGGGTGATTCTGAAGATGAGGGTGGGGGTGGAGGCTGGGACCGCACTTTGGAAGCATGAAGTTTAGGAGAGAGCAGTGTGGGCCCAGGTGGGAGGAGATGGAAGGCAGGGCTGGGGAGAGGCGGAGGGAAGGAGGGGGCCGTGTCCCAGGCTTTGATGTGGAGGTCCTGAGAGTTTGCAAGGAGAAGTTGCCAGAGGGCAGTTTGCCCACCTGCACTGCCTGCTCAGCCCCGAGGAAGCTCTGTGAAATCGCTGCTTTGTTGGATCTCCATCAGCGGTGCCCCATTGCCTGCCTATGAGGCCTTCCGACTTTCCAATCCATTGATGTCCCTACTCAAGGCAGCCTGATAGGGACTTAGAACTGCTCTGCGGGGCATCTGAGGCTGGGAATCTTTATGGGCACGCCGAGCCTCATCTTGCTCCCTCCAAGCACCGGTTAGGTTTGAACCACCAGCCCAGCTTTATCTTTGGCATCCAGAACCAGTCCTCCATCACCACCACCGCTCGCCCTTTCCTACATGCAGGCATTTGCTAACTTTGTTCCCTCCCCAGAATTGTCCTTCCCACCATCAGTTTGAGGGGTGCTGGTGGGGCAGTGGTAAAGCACTTGATTGCTCACCACAAGGTTGGTGGTTCGAACCCACCACTTGCTGTGTGGGAGAAAGATGGGGCAGTCTACATCCTATGTGACCGTCCCCTGTGACACCGAGGTCACCAGGGGTCTGAACCGGACCCATGGCCGCAAGGGAGGGGGCGTGTCTGAGTTTCTCTGGTCTTCTCTGGAGAGAGGCCTTGGCGTTACATCTGCACCCTATTTGCTGAGATGGGATACCTGGCATGTCCCCCAGTTGGCTACTGGACCTTCCTGCTGGGGTCAGGACCCCATTCATTGGCTCTGAGGGATGTCTGAAGCTGGCAGAGAGGATTTGGGTAGGGAGGGCACTCACGGGGTGGGGGGTGGAGGTGGGGGGCTGTCCCTGGCTTGGGGTCCATAATGGGAGCTTCCTGACATGGAGCTGAGAGCTTCATGTTCACCACCCTGACCGCTGGCCAGCCATCCTGGGTACCAGAGCCTGATGGCTGGTGGTGGTGGTGGGGGCTTCCTAGGCGGTAGGGAGAATCACAGCAGGAGATCAAGTACTTCCAGTGTTCCCAGAGAAAGCAGTTCTGAGGCCAAGCAGTGCGTAGCCCCTGCCTGCTGGGACTCCCAGGAGAGCTCTGAGCTCAGGCCCCCTGCCAGCAGCTGGATCAGATATGCTAAGCAGGGTCCCTGGGGTCCCTGGGGGATGGGGAGCCAGGCCCCAGAGACTTTGGCTCCTCCTCTCACAGTGGCTGGGCTAAGGAGCTGAGCCTCATACTGGGGGCAGGGGGTGGGGTCTGGGGGCAGGGGTAGGACTGAGCTTTGGGGCCAGAAGGGCAGGTCCCAGGGAGGGCAGGGCCAGCCTCTGGGGTTTCATGGCCTCTGGAAAGACATGAAGTAGACCCTGCTTTTGGATCCACTCACAAACCTCGATGGAGGTTCCGGGTGGCGTCCACGGGCAGCATGCGTCTGGCTGCTGACTGCCCACCCAGAGGTGCCTAGAAAGAAAGGCCTGGCGACCTGCTGCTGAGAAAGCACCCATGGAGAGCGGGAGGACGCACGCTTCCTGAGCAGGGGGACCCGTTGCTGCTCTGCGCCAGCCCTGGGCGGGGCTCCTGCCGGGAGCCAACCAGAGGTCAGGGCCCGGGGAGCGGTGGTGTCCCCTGCTCCAGCCCGGACCTCAGGGTATCCCAGGGCTGCACCCACTGGACGTGGTGCACATTCTGGGTCTAAAGCTCCATGGGGGGTGATGAGGCCATGGTGACATCGTTTGGAGGAAGGTGCCACTTGGCATAGAGAGGTGCAGGGCTGCCAGCGCCATTGCTGCCCAGAAGGCAGTGGGCAGAGCTCAGAGAGTCCTTCAGCTTGTCCAGGGTCCAGCAGGTTTTTGGTGGGCAGGAAGGCGCCTAGAGAATGTTAGAGACCGTTATCACGGGAGGCCTCATCCACATCCCCTCTGCTCCTCCGGAAGGAGGCAGGGTCTCAGCTAATGGAGAGGGCATCCTTGTAGCTCCTGGGCTGAGCAGGCAGCAGCAGGCAGAGTCAGCAGAGGGCCGGGGGAGGAGTAAGTACCCTCGCTTCTCCCTGAGCCCCCAGCTTCTCATGCCCCCCCCACCACATTCACTCTTTCCCTCCTCCCCCATCCAGTCATTCCCTCCGTGTGTCCAGCCGCCAACCTGTCTGTCTTCTCCTTTTGTTTCAGGGCAGTTGGTAGCTCCAGGCCTCTGAAACAGAAGAGAGCCTGGGGCAGTGTGGATGGACAAACGGACAGACAGATGGATGAAAGGAAAGCAGGGTGTCCTGAAGAGAAGACCTGCAGGGGACAGGGAGGGGAGGACCCCCAGGCCCCTCTGGGTGCCCCCAGGCAAGGGTGAGGGGCCACGGTCACTTACACCAGGCCCAGGGTCTCCCTGGGGAGGCTGGCACGTGAAGGACCAGCAGCAGCGACTGTTCATCAGGAGGAGGGCAAGATGTGAGACTTCGGCTAGACTGTAGGCAGGACTACCCACAGAGCCCCAGGAGCACTCTACAGGGAGCTTCTCAGGGAGAACTCCTGTACAGCCCTCAGCTTGAACCAGGACAACCACGCTCCCTCCAGACGCCATGCCCAGAAGAGGCTCTCCTGGAGCCGGGCCACATGCCGCCCGGCTCAGGGTCGGGCCCACCACAGGTCAGAACGTTCTCCTGGACACCAACA